CTTCGGGCCGAACCCACCGGTGATCGCGGCGGCGCGGGAGGCGCGGGAACGTCGCGTCGTGGTGCTCGCGAACCCGCGGGACCGGCGCGCTCGGCCGCTCGGCCCGATCGCGACGGATTCGCGTAATTTTTGGACGGATCGACGGCGCTCGGTCCCGCCGTCGCGGCGGACGTGCAGCGGCGCCGCGCGGACCGCGGCGTCGCGCCGGCCGGCTCCCCCGAGGACGCGTCGGAGCGGGTCGCGACGTCGGCGGCGGCGCTCGCGGAGGCCGCGCGACGGGAGGCGGAGGCGGAGGCGCGCGCCGTCGACCTCGCGGCGCGGCGGGCGACGACGGTCCACGGCGGCGTGACTAGGGGCCAGGCCGTGCGCGTCGTCGGGCTTCGCGACTACGAGGGCGAGGTCGGCGTGGCCTGCGGCTTCGCCGACGGCCGCTGGCGCGTCCGCTTCCGCGACGGGTCGCTCAAGGCCGCGCGGCCGGAGCACGTCGAGCCCCGGGAGGAAGGGCCGTTCTCCGGTCGCGTCGACGTGTACTGGGGCGACTCGCGCTGGAGCCGCGCGCAGCTTCTCGGCGAGATCGGCCGCGGCCACTGGGGCGTGGCCGCGTGCTGCGTCGCCGACGTCGTCGACGGCGACCGTTACGAGACCGCCGCCGCGCGCGCCGTCTTCGCGGCGAGGTCCGCGATGACGGATCCGGCGCTTAGGTAGGAGTAGTGGCCGTCTGTTCGGCGAGCGAGACTGTGAGAGCGGTCAAACAAATCGGCCAACTGCTGCGCCGGGGCCCAAGCGCGGCGCCGCGACATCCCCCCGACAACCGTTCAACGCGTGTTAGAATCATGAAGGCTGAGTATGTCGAGAAGAAGAAAGAATACGAAGCAAGGAAGGCTCGGGCCAAGGCGCTGGCGCTGCGACTGACCTGCACGATCTGTGGAGTGAAGCCGAAGACCTTGCTCAACTGCCCCTGTGGCACAACTCAGTACTGTTCGGTGGCATGCCAACGCATCGACTGGCGCGACCGCGGCCACCGAAAGGCGTGCAAGAAGATTCGAGCCGAGCGCGCGGCGGAGGCGGCGCGCGCGGAGGCGCCGCCGTCGCCCCCGAAGCCCGTCTTCTACGGCCCCGCGCCGCGGTCGCACGCGGACGAGGTGCGCGCGCGCATTGCGGCTGAACACGAGGCCGCTCGCCTGCGGCGCGAGGCGAACCCGGAGCCGGAGCCACTGAACGCGCGGTACGGCTCTCGGTGCCCGGTCTGCTACGACGACTGGGACGTGAACGTTCCAGGTGTCTTTATTCCCTGTTGCGCCCGCACGATTTGCGAGTCGTGCAGTTTCAGAAATAGAAACAAGCCGTGCCTTCTCTGTCGGGCGCCTATCGCGGAAGACGATGCGGACTTTCTTGCCAAAGTTCGCCGTCACGTTGAGAACGACCTACCGGAGGCGATGGTGTTTCTGGCCGATGCATACGCTGGGGTCCCCCATGTGACTGGGGTTGGTCGGTCTTATGGCCTGGTACAATCGAAGAAGAAAGCCGCGGAGCTTTATAAGCGAGCGGTCGCACTTGGCAGCGTGGAGGCGATGGTTCAGCTTGGGAAGATGTACAACGAGGGTGGGATCGTTGGCGTCAATCGAGACCAGGAGATGGCGATACAGTTGTGGCGGATGGCGGCGGACCGGGGCTGTGCGCTTGGGCAGCACAACATGGCAACCGTGCTGCACCCTGAAATTGGTCGCCATGACGCCAGCTACGAGGAAGCATACCGATACTACAAGCTCGCAGCGTTGCAGGGCCTGACACAGGCGGAGCACTTCGTCGGGTGCGCCCACTTTAAGGGCGAAGGCGTGGACCGAGACGTCGGCGAAGCTAGACGCTGGTTCACTCGCGCGGCTGCCAAGGGCCACGAGAACGCCGCCGGCACACTGCGGAATATTGCGCACCTATCCGACGACCACGTCTGCCGCGGCCCGCGTAGGCGCATGGAACCGCGACGCGGCTAATAGAACCCCGCAACCGTGCTTTCGACCTTCGCTTTAGATCGTGGGGTTGAACGAGACGCGCGAGGAGCTCGCGCCCGAGGACCGCGGCGACAGGTCGCCGTCGGACTCGGAGCCGCGCGCGGACTCGGAGCCGCGCGCGGGCGCGCGCCGGAGCGCGGCGTCGACGAAGGCGAGGCTCTTCGCGCGCGTCGGCGCGCCGGAGAGCGAGCGCGCCGCGTGCCTCGGCGAGAAGCGCGCCGCGCCGGTCGCGAGGCCCCGGCTCTGGAGCTGCGGCGTCTCGATGGACAGGCCCATCGCGCGGTTCCGCGAATATTTCACGAGCGCGTGCTGGAGGTTGATCTCGTGGCGCACGGCCGACGACACGTCCGCGTTGCCCTCGAGGCCGACGTCGATGGTCACGGACCGCTCCACGAGGCCGACGAGCAGGTGCTTCGCGCCGTCGCCGCCGATCTGC